GTCAACATATGGCGCTGTTCAAGATATTGTGTTTGTATTGTGATGGGATGGACAGATCTCGTCTGGTCCCATCCCAGTGAGGAGCCAGGTCGCTCACATTAGAGTGAGTAATCTCATGAAAGGCAGCTGCCTGCTCTTTCAGCAGGACAGCTTTGATAAGGCACTTCAGGTGCTGGGGTAAGAAGAAACCCCAACTGCAAGCAGCGATTGTACGTACTCTCCCTCCTGTGTTGGGTAGCATTAGCTAATGCTCGTTACTCCATTTTAATGTGTTTTGTATCGTGTGATCGCAGACCGGAGCTGCATATGCTGTTACAGTGTCAAACTGCACCCAGGTACTCCTAATCAGTTCTCTGCCCATGTGTGTGTGGCAGCCGTATTAAGGCTGATCTGACTCAGCCGCGCTACGACCGTAAGTCTTGCCTCTGATTGGGGAGGGTTGTACTGATCCAGGGAAACCATGCCAGTTTGTTTGTTTGCAGTGTGGCTGCCCGTCTGTGCGCCGAGAGCTGCTATTACATTAAGCTTTGCCTGCAGCTGTGCCACCCAGAGTAGCGGAGAGTTTCACGGTGTCGGCGGTGCACTGACCCTCCTGCTGCTCCATCCCACCGCGACTAATCTCATCTCCAGAGCCGGTTGTGGGCCCAGAAGACTCCTCACTGCTGTTCTGTCCGTATGGATTTGTTTCGCATGCAGGATTTGTGTTGATTAGTTGTTGTGCGTTGGACGCCTGGTTGCTGGGTCAACCACTAGTGAACTCTGAGCTGTTAAGCTCCAACAGCACGTTTTTCGTTTAGATATTTTAATAAAGAGTTGTTTTATTTCAACTGTTTCATCTGTTCCCTCTGTGATCATTTTAACCTGTGGGCCTCCTACCCTTCCCTGGGGGTGGTTAACCCAGGGTGGCATTGTTGCAACCACCTTTTTAACAGTATTCATTTTGTCGCGTCTACCTGCCACAATATTGTGGGTTTTCTTTTTATTCAAGAGACTTTTAACACGGACAAATTAGTCTTTCACCCTCCTCCACCTCTTCATTCGCTCACCCCTAACCCCATGTTTCCCACCATTTCCGTCCACAAATAAAATGCTTGCTGCATATCTTTTCACTCCTCCATTAACGGGGGAATAAAACTTTCATATTTTTAGAATTTTTCTGCGATGGATTCTTCAAGCTGTTCCGTGTCTGCTGCTAGATATCCTCGGCTCTCTTTGTGTTTTTGAGGGCGCAATGGCGGCACTGTAGATGACAGCGGCATTCTGACTAATCACAGGCTTGCGTTATCCAGCTTGACGGATAGGTTTTTAGAACAAAGAGCTTGACTCAGTCTGTTCTTAAAAGCCTGTCAGAGAGCCCTCAACAGGACGAATAAGGGTGTTACGTGCGTCCGTCCTGATGCAGACGGAGAGGTATAAATTAGGCTTCAGGTTGTTACCCCCGCGACCCGACTCTGGATAAGCTTCTGAAAGTGAATGTGTCACCTCACTGCAGCTGACCACGGCTGGTTCCGGATACAAGGTGGAAACAAGCGACTCAGGAGGTCCAAAAAACAGGCAGGGGAACCACTGAAGATGAAAACAGATAATTTATTGGGAGGAGCAAGGACAATGCTAAAGTTCCAGTCTTCAAAAGCTGAAGGAGTAAAAACATAACAGCAGTCTAAATTATCCTGTGCATCACCAGGGCCGGGACGGTGTCCAGTACAAGGAGCCACCTCTTAGCTCCAGCTGACCGTGTTGACCCACGTAGCTGGGACCCAGTCTCCTCCACCTTGTCCTTTGGCTGTCAGGCACAAAGTGAACCTCCTGCAGCAACCTGTCTGTGCTGCTACCATGGCTCCAGCATCGTCCCCTCGCCCGCTGGCTGCTGCATGCACTGCCGGTCTCTCCGTAGCCCCCTGGCACAGTTCCGCTCCTTGGACACGTCACGCCCTCCTCGGCCCAAAGCCCTTACAAGACACAGAGGCACCACCACCAAAATTGCGCCTCTCACACAGGTGAGCAGAGGGCAACCCACAATCCTCCACACTTGGCCGCTTGTCCACATCCCAGGATGGTGTTCCAGGTGCCGATCTGCATTCTGGGGGGTCGGGCGCCCGTGTCCTTGCCAGAGACGTCACTGTCCAGGGTGCGTCTCTTGTTCTCAATCAGGCCTCATGCATGTCTCTCTGGTGTCTGCTGCTCTCCTGGACTTCTTATTCTTCTTTGTCTTGTTTAATGGCAGGTGGCATCTAATGTCTAGGTGCATTTCTGCCACCTATTGTGCTGGAGTGTAAGTCGGAGTATGAGCGCCAAAAACAAAACTGCTCTCCTGGACTTCTTCTTCTTCTTCTTCTTCTTCTTCAGTGAGGGAGGCGGGCTAGATGCCCAAGAGGCGTATTGCTGTCACAGCCGCCCAAACACACCGCCAGAGAGCATCACAGCCTCTCATAAACCCCCGTCACACGCAGAAACCACATCAGGGCCCACACCCTACGCCGGTCCTCCACACCCAACAAAGTCCGCAGAGAAAACACTGACAGACCCCTAGCCCTCAACCTCCGAAAATAGGCCTCCCTCTCACGACCATACCGTCCACACAGCAGAAGAACATGGCACACAGACACCTCCCGTCCATGTGTTTCCCCACCAAAAACAGCCCGCTTCGAAGTCCACAATGCCCCAACCTCAACCGAGTGCGGACCACCGAGTCTCTCCGAAGATCAAGGACAGACCCACAGCCACACACCAAACAATGCAACCCATAAAAGCTCCTACCCAAAACCCCACAATGCCTGCCACAATCTCATGGCCTCCTTGCCTAACAATACTCAGCGGAGCCCATGGCAACCTCTAGGTCCACAACAGTACTCAGTGCCACCTTGGCAACAGAGTCCACCCTCTCATTGCCCACCACCCCCACATGGGCAGGAGCCCAAACATAACAAACTTCACAGCCACAAGCCTGCAGATCATGCAGCATCACCCTGGCAGAAATCACCAGGTCTGGCCCAGAGCCAGAGCCTGACCCTGACAAAGCCTCCAACACAGCAGCAGAGTCAGAGCAGATAACGGCACGCTCCTTCACCCAATGCAAGGCACATAAGGTTACCCACCAATTCAGCCATGATCACTGAACAATGGTCCCAGAGCTGACAACCAAAGCTGAAGCACAGGTGCGGGACCACAAAATCCACCGCCACCCGACCACTATCAGGATCCTTAGAGCCGTCCGTATACAGCTGCAAATGAGAGCCCCACTCCAACCCCATATAATCCTGAAAAGCACCAGCCACCCCACCATCACTGCATCGCCCAAAATGTTAAATCCACCTCTGGTACAGGCAGAAGCCAGGGCGTAACATCAGACCAGATCAGGCGCGAACAGACAGGCCAACCCAGGAAGCCCAAGGCGTCCACTCTGTCCCGCAACCGGGCAGAAAATCCACTCTCACCAAACCGACCCTGCCCTCCAAACTCCCAATGCTGGTCCAACAGGCTCGATGCAGGAGAAGCATCACCCATACCCCTGACCCTCAACAGGTACCGGAGTCCCAGCTTGACTCGTCAAAACTCCAAGGGCATCTCACCCACGTCGACCAGAAGGGCAGCAACTGGGGTCGACCTAAATGCCACACTACAAACCCTCACAGCCGCCGCCTGCAAGACATCCGACCTCCTCAGGGTAGTAGGGGCAGCCGAGCCATACAGGAAACACCCATAATCCAGGGCTGACCTGAACACACTCTAGTACACCATCAGCAAGGTCCACCGGCTCACCCCCCAATCTGTCCCAGCCAAACACCGCATCACACTCAAGACCTGTCTACACCTGGCTTCCAGAATCCAAACATGAACACCCCATGTCAGCCGCTCATCCAGCCACATGCCCAGGTACTTAAAAGAGGACACACGCTCCAGCGGCAGCCCACCCAACAGCAGACCCACCGACGGGACAATCCACTTAAACCCAAAAACCATAAATTTGGACTTGGATGGGGACAACTTAAAGCCCCAATGCCTCGACCAAGCCACCACACCATCCAAGCCGTCCTGCACCCTGCGGAAAAGAAACGGGAGGTTCTGGCCCCGCTTCCAAAATGGCACATCATCAGCAAATGAGGACCTCCCCATATCACCGCCCAAGGAGTCAAACAAGCCATTGACCATGACAATAAAAAGCACCGGGCTAATCACACTCCCCTGAGGAACCCCGTTCTCCACCCCCACAGAAAACGGCAACACAGAATCCACCCTAACCTGAATCCTCCTATCACGAAGACAGCCCCTGATCCAGCGCAACATTCTCCCACGAACCCCAGCCAAGTACAGAGAAATTAAAAGCCCGTCTCTCCAAAGCATTTCATCAGCCTTTTCTATCTCAAGGAACACTGCCAACACTGCATTCTTATTCGCCAAGGCCTGCCTAACGCCCAGATCCAGAGGCGCCACCGTGTCCACCGTGGACCGCCCCAGCCGTGCTCCTGGACTCTTTCGTCAGTTCCTTTTAAACCTCATTTTATGAGTCTATTGCACCTGTGGGCATTCCACACCTGTTCCCATTTGTTTAAATTAGTGTCTCTGGGAGGTACCACAAAGGGAAAGACCATGTCAACAATAACACAAATCATGCAATTTAAACTAAATAGCAAAATGGCTAATACAAACACAACTCATGCAAATTAAACTAAATCCAAAACTTTTCCACTTTGGGACAAATGGATGACTTGAATTAAACATGGTTGTCCGGGCATTCCTTTTTAAATTAAATTATTCAAAAGTGATTATTTACAAACTTTATACTGATTTATAATTATAACTCTTAAAGAGTCTTGATTATAATATTGGGTGTATTAAAGGGATTCTGTAAATGTTTATTTTTTACCAAATCATTATAACCTGACAACGTCAGCACAGACAAAATTGTGGGGACCCTCTTCCCAGATTGGGAACTACTGGGTTATATAGCTTTCCTCACTCCAGTCCAGTAGGTGTCAGTAATGTACCTTTATGCTTGTTTCTGGCTGCCTAAATTTACTAAAGAAGAAGACGACAAGCTGTTAGCTTGTTATAGTATCAGGTGAATATCTGAGTCTCTGCAGTAAAAATGTCGTCAGCTCAGTCTCTGAGAGAGTTTATCAACAAGCGACTATCTGCTGCTGCTGAAGAAATATTCACAGAGTTTAGAAGAAACATCGTTCAGTTGGAGGAAGAGATCGATCGTCAGCGCAGACTGCTGGATCTCAGCTGGAAACCACAGATCAATTTACACAGAATAGGTATGAAACTCATGCGGGACTAATGCGGGTTTACTGAGGACAGAATCTCAGACAGGATCGTTTTGTACTCAGTTTTATGTTTATAAGGTTTAAGGTTTTTTTAAGCAATCTGACACGATTGAGGTGAAAGTGGTCGGTAAACGTTCTCACATTAGTTTTTCTTCTTTAGAGAAATAACATTTAAAGAATTTTAGGAGCCACGTGTGCCTATTTGACAATTTACGGGTTCATAATTTTTCCGTCTTTATTTGCATCAGATGATTAAAGTGAAGGGAGCTTTGAGCTTCCACATTAAAGATGGATTATATGTAGGGGTGCAACTACTTTCGGAGGACACACACACACACACACACACACACACACACACACACACACACACACACACACACACACACACACACACACACACACACACACACACACACACACACACACACACACACACACACACACACACACGAGAAGGACCGACCCACAGACACCCACCAAACATTTCAAAACACACACACACCTCAAAGGTGTTTAATTTTTCTTGAATTGATCTCAGCTGGAAACCACAGATCAATTAAAACAGAATAGGTATGAAACTCACGCGGGTTTACTGAGGATGGAATCTTGGTAAAGTCCTGTTCTCCTTTTTTCGGTTTAAAGGCTTCATTTCTGATACTTGGTCGGGAAACTTTGTTAACAGTTGTAACTTTGTTAGCTTTAGAGAAAGAAAATAGAAAAAAAAAGTTACAGGGATTTTAGGGACAATGAGTGTCTATTTGTGTGTCTACCTTATCGTGGTGGATTATTTTGAGTGCCCCAATTATCCTCGGAGCTATGTTATCTGGGGCACTTTGTGCCCCTGGTAGGGTCTCCCATGAAAAATTGGTCATTGGTGAAGGGTGAGACAAAGAACGGTTCACAGGATCTTTCATGGAGGTAAAATCAAAGAGTCGGAGTACCCGGCCTGGAGGGTTACCGGGGTCCCACCCTGGAGCCAGGCCTGGGGTTGGGGCCCGTGAGCGAGCGCCTGGTGGCCGGGCTTTCGCCCAGGGGGCCCGGCCGGGCCCAGCCCAAACCGGATACATGGGCTCATCCAACTGTGGACCCACCACCCGCAGGAGGAACATGAAGAAGAAGAAGAAAGTATCATTTCTATAGCGCCTCTCAAGATAAAAATCACGAGGCGCTTCACAAAAACAAAAACAAAAAATATAAAAATTGTAAAAATATAAAAAAGCATTTCGAAAATGTTTAAAAATATATTTAAAATGAGCAAGAATAAGCAATTGCGATTTAAAAGAAAAAATGTTAAAGAGAGAGAGTGAATAGGAAAGAGGGAAATCAGTGGATCCTGAGGAAGGTGGAATAGGTGGGGAGAGCAGAATAAAGAGAGAGTGGTGAAGAAGGTCATCCAAAAGCCAGCTTGAACAAGTGAGTCTTCAGCTTCCTTTTGAAGGAGACCACTGAGTCCACTGATCTCAGGCTCAGGGGAAGAGAGTTCCAGAGTCTGAGGGCCACAGCAGCAAATGATCTGTCACCTTTGGTCTTTAGCCTGGTGTGCTGCACAACCAGTAGGCTTTGATCACTGGACCTCAGGGACCTGCTGGGGGTGTAGGGACTAAGAAGATCACCAATGTAAGATGGTGCTTGTCCATGTAGGGCCCTATAGACCAGAACCAGGGTCTTGAAATGAACCCTGAAGTTGACTGGCAGCCAGTGAAGCTGGAGGAGAAGCGGAGTAATGTGGGTGTGTTTTGAGGACTTGGTCAGAAGCCGAGCACAGGCATTCTGAACCACTTGTAGACGGTTCAGGGAGGTTCTGCTCAGACACGTGAAAAGAGAGTTACAGTAGTCTAACCCCGGCTTTCCACAGCAGCCGTCAGCAGCACGTTACTGCAGCAGCACGTCATAGCTGCTGATAGGAACGGCTGTGGTCAACAGAACCTTTTCCACAGGAGCCGTCAGCAGCGCGAGTCGGCCGCGTCTCAGGAGCAGCATGTCGCAGCCTTTACGCGCCGGTTCTATTTCCTACGCGCGACGCCTCTGAAACGGGTCAAGTTCGACATTTTTGGGGAAGGAAAGACAGGAAATCGGACGCGGAAATGGAGAGAAGCTCCCGAGATTTTCAGAATAAAGAACGTACTGCCTTCCGGTCGCTTTACTTTAAAAAAGGTTACTAACTGTGCGGCCCCGTGAGAAGTTATCACCTAGCTAGCGGTCTCCTTTGTTTTTCAGGTCCGTATTGGCGATTATAAAACGGACAGAATATAAAAACACAAACATTTTGGAGCCATGTTGTAGTTTTCTCCTGCTTGTTGTTGTGTTTACTGACGAAGTCACTCGTGTGACTTCGTGCCCTGTCGGTGACAGCTGCTCCTCTGCTGCGTCGCGTCTCGTGGGAAGGGCCAAGCAGCAGCTAGACGTGCTGCTGCAGTAACGTGCTGCTGACGGCTCCCGTGGAAACCCGGGGTAAGCGTGAGGAGATGAAGGTGTGGATAACTGTCTCAAGTTCAGAGCGAGACAGAATGGGACTCAGCTTGGCAATGTTCCTGACATGGAAGAAGGATGAGCGAACAAGAGAACTGACATGAGAATCCAGGGTGAGAGCTGGGTCAAAGGTCATGCCGAGATTCCCTGACGGAAGGTTTGGTGTGGGAAGCAAGCTGACCAAGAGAGTCTCTGACTTTGGGAACCAGCTTGTCTGGGGCACAGATGAGGATCTCAGTCTTATCTTCATTCAGCTGAAGAAAGCTCCCAGCCATCCAGGCAATGATAGAGTCTAAGCAGGTGTGTAACAGCTGCAGCTTAGACATCTCATGGGGCTTAAAGGAGATGTACAGTTGGATGTCATCTGCATAAAGATGGTAGAAGCAGTGTTTCCCCTAGGAATTTTTCCAGCTGTGGTGGTGTTGGCGGGGGGGGGGGGGGGGGGGGGGGGGGGTGACACGTCTCACCTTTATGTTTTATTTGATGCACTCCACTTTGAACTGCACCAATCCAGCGACTGCTGCATTGTAATAACTAGTATTAAAGGTGAGTACACCAATATTTGCACAATAATAATTTCTGTTTTAAACTCTCAGTGACACACTTTGCAGGGTGGATTTGGCATTTAATTTTTCTTGGCGTCTGGAAAAACATCTTCTTTTGCCCCCTTTATTTGACTCTCTGCCCCCTTTATTTTGGTCCAAGATCATTACTGGGCTGGCCCTAATAAAAACGTTCTACACCCCTGCTTAGTAGACTTAATGGAGTATTTTTAAGCCAGTATAAAAATGACTGAAACACAAATTTACATATTTGGCATTATTGACCAATATTTTTGATTTGATTTATTTGTTAAGAACATCAAGATGCATTACAGTGAACATTATAATAAGCTGGACACTGTGCGACTTTTTCACTCGTAACACAGCTTCAGCTCAAACTGTACGACCAGCGCAGGGTAGATCTCACGAGTCATGTGCTCACACTGTACGTCTGGTAGCAACACGTCGGACCTAAAATATGCTAAAAATAGCAGTTTTTACACAACACGTCAGACTTTTTTGTCTTGTTTTGCCTGTTGTCCTTCGGGAGTGCTGCAGGAGGACACACGGGGATTTATGGGGGTTGGATGAGGAAACGAAATAAAGAGAGTAAATCTGTGTTTTGTGATCAGTTTAATTTGACATGAACACGACAAACACGCTTTCTTGACAATCTTTGTGAGTAAAAAAAACGTGTAGAAATAAAAACGAACAACGTGTGTTATTAGGGAAATAGCGGGCGAGCGGAGTTGATGCAGGATGGCGAATGCGCCGTGAGCGGTTCTGATACTTTTTGGGTCGCAGCTGCTCGCTGCGCCGCTTCAACCCTCATGAGGAACGAGATAAATATTAAACACTCCAGAAGTCCGTGCGAGCTCACGATTGCTGATCGGTAGCTGGTCACATGGTGTTAATCGCCTCTCGACGCTCAGCGCAAAACTCGCCCCGATCGTGTGGATTCTCGCACGAGTGGAAAATCTGCTCAAAAAAGTGAAAAAGTCGCACAGTGCACGCCCGGCTTTACTGTCTGTGTGTGTGCGTTGATGCCTGGACCGAGCTGACGGAGCTCCCGGTTGCAGTTTTGCGTGTAGGGAGGGCCGGGCGCTCTATCTGACTGGCCAATCACAGAGCTTGAAGACAGCCAGTTACCCAATGAGAATTTCATTCAGCACGATTACAGATATTTCCGAGTTTTACACTCGTTTCATGCTCGTATTCGTCAAAAATGCTTTATCCGTACGCTCATAGCTGTAACCACCCTGCCGTGCCTCCTCCTCCTTGCTACCTGCCGGCTGTGATCACAAGCAACAACACAGTAGTTCCTGCTGCTTCTTTGGGAAACGGCGCAAAAAAAAAAAAAAAAAAACATCAATAAAACTTGGGATGTTGTAGGCGTGGCGGTGGGATTTCAGCCGTGGCGGCCCGCCACGGCTACGCCTATGTAAGGGAAACCCTGAGGAGATTCCTTTGAATGAGCTCAGGATGTGCTGAAGAGGAAGCAGATAGAGGAGGAAGAGTAGAGGCCCCAGCACAGAACCTTGTGGGACACCATGGGTAAGAGAGGTGGTGGAGGACCTAAACTTGGAGACGGCCACAGAAAAGGAGCACTTAGAGAGATAAGAGGAGAACCACTCCAGAGCAGATCCTGATAGGCCTACCCAGTCTCTCAGCCTCTCCAGTAGCAGGTGATGGTTAACAGTGTCAAAGGCTGCAGTCAGGTCCAGCAGGACCAGAACAGAACAGTCCCCTGCATCACTGTGAGTCAGAAGGTCATTAGAGACCCTAAGAAGAGCTGTTTCAGTAGAATGAGCTCTACGAAAACCTGACTGGAAGCTATCATAGATGTTGTGTTCATCAAGAGCAGCTGTGAGTTGTTTAGCCACAACCTTTTCCAAGATCTTTGAGATGAACGGAAGTTTAGAGATGGGTCTGAAGCTGCTATGGAGAGAGGGGTCGAGACTCAGTTTTTTAAGAAGCGGG